GAGTTTTTAAAGGATGGTCTATGTGCTGACTATCTTGGACTCTAATATTACAGACTCAAAAACATAAAAACAGAGTTATTAGATAAGATTACAAGTCTTCAAATCTCTAAGCCTTTATTCTTGAATCATCATCAAAATCTACAAGTTTCATATCGTTGTATGTTTAACATCTCGCTTTATCTGTACTTTATCCGATAATTAAAATTGAATTAACGAATTATTGGATATCTTAAATAAAATTTTAATTTGGTATCTAATTTAATTTGGGCATCTATTCAGCCCTCTAGATGTCATTTGTCTAACAAAATATTCTTTAAACATTTTTCTAATGAATTAATTAATTAATTAAAAACACTTAAAAAGTCTTAATAGATACTTGAGGTTCAATTTTAATTTGTTAAAATGAAGTTTTAATTAATTAAAATGTTCCTGTCAATTTTTACACATTTTGTACATGTGGTTTAATTTGATAAAAGGGATTTTAATAAATTAAAATATCCGTAGTCATAACGAGTGATTTCAAAGCCTCGCAATTTTAATTTGTTAAAGAAGGTTTTAATAGATTAAAATATTATAGGCTTAAGGGTGATTTTTGAGTTATTTTAATTCATGTTTTTAATTTGTTAAAAATGACACTAAAAAGATTTTTGAATGATTTTATTTTAATCCATTAAAATGTTTTTAATATATTAAAACTTCTTTGTGTTTTTTTAAGAACATTTTGACCTGGTTTAATAGGTAAAAACAAGATTTTAATAGATTAATTTTATGATTAAGTAAAATTAACTTATTAAAATGCAGTTTAATTGATTAGAATTATTACTAATATTCTATATAAGTTTTTTTTTCTCTCAACATTGGATATACAATTTGAAACACTGGAATATCTTCGATTTGGATCAAACAATTTTTAAATACTTACTTTTAGATAGATTTACATTAATTGTTTACATAAGTTGCTTTCGTAATATTTATTAATTAAATAATTAATATATTAAAATTTATTAATTAAATAATTAATATATTAAAATTTATTAATTAAATAATTAATATATTAAAATTTATTAATTAAATAATTAATATATTAAAATTTATTAATTAAATAATTAATATATTAAAATTTATTAATTAAATTATTAATATATTAATATTTATTAATTAAATAATTAATATATTAATATTTATTAATTAATTATCTATTAATATAATTATGTATGATAGTGTTATATCAAATATAATTATATATATATATATATATATATATATATATATATATATATAATTTAGTGCATGCCTACTTGCATTAGACACATTGCGAGAATTTTATGAGACGTTTTAAAAACACCGCATTAAAGAAAGATATTGTAAATATAGGTAATTCTTTTGCTTCAAAATTGTTACAATTTATTCATTATTTAACTGTTGCTAATAAATATTTATATTAACTTTTTTTTAATATTGTTGTAGCATATGGGATGACTGAACCACGATTCTATTATTATTACAACATCTTGAGGCAATGTGACATACAAGCAACTAATTGGTTGGATGAAATACCTAGAGAAAAATGGGCACTTGCATGGGATAATGGACGGCGTTGGGGCCACATGACGACCAACATAGCAGAGTCTATCAACTCTGTTTTGAAATAAACAAGAAATCTACATATTTGCTCCATGGTCAACGCAACGTACACCTACTGCAATAAATTTTTTATTGAAAGAGGGAGGCAGATAGATGCCATGATCAATGTTGGTCATGTATACTCTGAAATTTTGGTCACAAATTTAGAGGAAACACAAACACAGGCAAACACGCATAGGGTCATAACTTTTGACAGATCTACCACAAAATTTGTAGTAGAAGAAACACATAACTCGCGTGAAGTTCGACCAACAGGGAAGTTTGCAGTTCACCTTGATGAGTTGTGGTGTGACTGTGGGAAATTCCAGAAATTTCACATGCCTTGTTTGCATGTTATTGCTGCATGCAAGCATGCACACCATGACTTCAACAACTACATTCATCTAGTGTATACCTTACAACAAGTTTCAAAGGTATACGAAACATAATATGGGTTGTTGCGAAATGAAGAATATTAGCCAACATACACAGGACCTACTTTGTGTGCAAATCCAAAAATGAAAAGAACTTCAAAGGGCCGAACAAAATCAAGTCGTATAAGAACTGAGATGTATATTATAGAAAATCAAAGTAGGATTAAAAATTGTTCATATTGTCATACCCCTGGTCATAGTAGAAGAACACGCCCCAATGTTGCATGTGCATCTACTTCGCATCATTAGATTGTGTTAGTTAAGAAATACCCTAATGTATGAAACTTAGGAGTTTTTCAATTAATAAAATTTCTTCTTTGCAGAGTGGGGATTACCTACAATGTAGTAACTCATGGGCTCATCTATTCTTACAATAAGGATAACTATATTGGCAACAAATCATAATAGGAATATCGGTTTGTTGCATGAATTGTTAATATCCTTCACTTTAGTCCTTTTGTTGTTCAATCTTGTTCATGGTTGAATTGAAGATATGCCTACAAGGTTGCAATTTGCAGTCTAGGGAGTGTATAAATAGTTGCAGGTTTCCTTGCTCAAGCGATGAATTTCTCGCTTGAGCAAGAGTTGACTACAGGCTAAAGCTCCAACGTAGTTAGCCACATAATGCAACTTAGGTCACCACATATTTCAATTAGTTCTCGCTCGAGCAAAATTACACATCGCTTGAGCAAAAAAATACCCGAGATTACCCATTAGTTTCTGGTCTCCTAACTCAAGCGATGGATTTCTCGTTTGAGTGAGAGTTGACCACAGGCTAAAGCTCCAACGCAGTTAGCCACATAATGCAACTTGGGTCAACACATACTTCTCGCTCGAGCGAAATTACCCATCATTTGAGTGAGAATTGACCCAACATTACCAATTAGTTTCAGGTCTCCTCGCTCAAGCGATGAATTTCTCGCTTGAGTGGGAGAGAAATAATCGATCATAATTTTAAATATTCGAATATTTTAAAATTATGATCGATTAGTTTAAATTATAATCGATTATAAGTTTCCTTGCTCAAGCGATGGATTTCTCGCTTGAGCGAGAATTCACCAAAGACGTTAACTTAGCCAGTCACTTTTCGCTCGAGCGAAATTATTCATCGCTTGAGCGAGAATTCACCACAGGCTAAAGGTCCAACGCAGTTAGCCACATAATGCAACTTGGGTCACACATATTTCAATCAGTTTTCGCTCGAGCGAAATTACCCATCGCTTGAACGAAAAAACACCCGAGATTACCCATTAGTTTCAGCTCTCCGCGCTCAAGCGAAGGGTTTCTCGCTTGAGCGAAAATTATATCGCTTGAGCGAAATTAAACACCACAAAACCCTTAAGTTCCAGGTCTTCTCGCTCAAGTGATGCATTTCTCGCTTGAGCGAGAGTACGATGAACAATAAAGAGGCTAGTTGCGTAAATAATGTTCCAGATACACTATTCTAGAAAATATTCTTTAAAATAGTATTGTTTATGAAAAAAAGTCAGATAAATTCATTGTAATGAATATAAATGACATTCCTAACCATATTTTTGTTGATAATATAAATTTACTGATAAAATTAGATCCGTTGGTAATTTGACATTTTTTTTTATAATGATAATAATTATTCTCATAATATAACTCTTTTAACGCTGAAAGTACATATAAATTACGCTCTATATATTACGAAAAAAAAAAAAAATGTGGAATGAGGTGTAGAGATAACTCCATTTGGTAGCTGTACAATGCACGTAAAACACACTCATCAAGATACGTATAGCCAAGTCAACTTATGTAAACACAATTTTGTCTAAAGTTTAGCACCCTTTGCCATGGCAACCACGGCGACCCACTTATACCCCAATTCAAGTTCCAACAATAAAAGTTCTAACTTCTCTTGATCTTCTATTAACACAACATGATTTTCCCTGGGCTAACAACTCATTAAAAGGGTCCCAATTAATTAGCGTTGGCATCAATAATAATAATAAAACGAAGTTGTTATTCCTTAATAAAATAGTTTGACTATTTGTACCTTGTGTACATGATAAATTGGTTATGATGTAATGTTAAAATCACTAGATTTATTATTGAAAAATAAAGGTTAAATATATTTTATTTTAAAAAAAACACTTATTTATGATTTACTGGTAGCTCGTATAGTTGATACGTTTTGGGAATATGGGTGGTTTAAAAGAAAACTATTCTCAATACAAAATACAGATTTAAAGTAACTACCTACCCACCTTATTCTTAGATAATGAATGAAATGAAAAAAAATTGTTCACATCCTAGTTTCTTTAGTTAGTCAGATTACATAATAAAAAAAGTAATAATTTTTATTTTTCTTATTAACTTTTCTGCTTTTTATGATTCAATATATTTATCTTTTCATTATTTTCTTTATTACTAAAAGATGACATCTTTACTCAAATTAATTAATTACTTGAAAAGTTTAAAGATAAAAAAAAATGAAAAAATCAGTAGCGCCATCCAAGGGCTATCTCTAGAAGCAGAGTCAATTTCCAACAAAAACATGGAAGTAAAAACAGAAAGAAAGAAAGAACAGTAATAATACTAATAGTAATATTATCATAACAATAAAAATAATTAAAAACAAAAGAAGATAGTACTACATGATAATATTTTACATTGGTGGGTCAACAATTCTGGCCAAGTTAGCACCTAACTGTCTGCTTTATGTCACTTTCCAGCCTTAGCATGCGGACCAAAGAAAAAAACTACTACCCGTGTTCCTACGGGACAATAACTTGACCTCACAACTCAAAAGGGTGTGCTTAATTTCCTTCTTCCTTTTTCAGATTCAGTTCGATTTTGATTTGGTGTTTGAAATCATGAAGTCATATTTTGGATGTGAAAATGGAAGTTATTCAAAGTGATTTCATTTTGAATGATCCACGTTAAACGCCAAATCAAACATCCACTAAAACTAATCAATCAAGAAGAAGTGCTTGGTAAGAAGCGACCTTGATCCAAATTCACAACCCCATCTCGATTGTTTTCCTTAACAACAACATTGCTTGTTGGGGGGCTCATTGGATTGCTACTTAGCCTCTGAAAAAACATGTTATTCTGGTCTTCACTTTGTGTGCCACCAGCAGCACTATACAAATTGTATTGTTGGTTTTGCTGCTGAAACATGTGCTGTTGACGTTGCTGTTGTTGGTGAAGGTGGTGGTAGCTTAGAGGGGGTGTTGACATAACAAGCGTTGTTGGGCTTAGAGAAGGGATAGGGCGTGAGGGGAACCCAAAGCCCAAGAGGTTTGGCAAGACTTGAGGTGCTGGTGATGGGCTCGGTGCAAAGGGTGCACTCGGGCCTCCCGTAAACTGTTGAACCATGGCTCGGAAGTTTGTGGTGTCTGTGTTGAGCAAGGTGGTCGGAGTTCGGCGTGAGGCCCGAGAGCGACGGCGCGTGGATTTGCCCACACGTCCTTCTGGACCTAAATAGGTTGCGTTTGATGGACTGGAATTCGATAAATCCTGCAAAGAACTTGTAGCGGTAGCAGCAGTAGTGACCGTTAAGTCCGGGATTGAAGGTGTGAGATTTTGGTTGTAGAATTGGAGCCAATCATTTGGGCCAGACATGGTTTGGGTCATGGCCAATTATCATACAATATGATGGAAGGAGAAGAGGAATTGGAGGAGGAAACAAGAAGGGAAATATGGGAGGATAAGAAAACTTCTATTGTTGTGGTTTCTGCTTTTTAAGGTTTGGGGGAAAGAAAGTTGTGCATTGAGGTTGGTATTTATGGTTGTTTTTCTTCTTTTTGTGGGGGGTTGCTATTGTTTGGTATTTTAGTCAAAAGTGTGAACGTAATGGAAGATCCTCACTCTGGATTTGGAGAAAACAGTAGGATAGATTCTGAAGGTGGCTACACGTGACATGACACGTGACAATAGTTTGGACTAAACAATTTTACCTTTTCTCTTACGCAATTAGCCTTGTCATTATGTTAAATGTAAAAGTTTATATAATTTTTTTTAATTGTAATATGAAAGTACAGAAAAACACACGTGATAAAAAAATATATAACATGTACTTTGTGTTCTTATAAAATATGTAAAATATTAAACGTATTATTAAAAAAATTCATATTATTTTATGTATATTCTTCTAAAATTTAAATACATTGTTCAAGTCATTGTTAAAAATAACGATAAATACAAAAAAATGATTTAGCTAAACTTATTTTTAATTATAAAATTTATATGTTATAATATAATTTATATTGTCAAACTTTCTGTCTATCTCGTATTTATTAATATAAATTTTATAACTGAAAAATTTAAAAAAATATATAATATAAAATTGAATTAAAGTAGCTATTTATGCATTATATTAAATGTTCCTTTAATAATGCGAGAATGTCGCGTTTAATTTTCGACGGCAGCCATCTGTATGATATGTATGAAATTCCATTTGGAGACGTTATTCTCTTCTATCACATTTAAAATGCTCATTATTATTTTATTGTTAAAATTAAATCGTTACAAATTTTATTCAAAAAGACTATAATTAGTTATTTAGCAAATATGTCCCCCTAAAATAACCCTTAATTACAATTAATTTAAGATAAATATATTATCTAAATAAATAAAATTCATAAAAAAGTGTATTATTTATAAATATATTATATTTAGATTATTAATTTTTAATCTGACTTCGAGTGTTTTTTGAAGCACCCACTTATCTTATCCAAGAAGTCTTAGGACAAATGAAGATACTTAAGGTGTTCTGAATCATACAATAATATATAATTTAAGAAGTTTCAATATTAATGATAACTCAAGGAGTCCCTTACCTCATGAAAGGAAGTCCTCTAGTAATTACATTTGGTGTGTGGGGTCAAATTCAAATTTCAACAATCACATGGTATAAATAAGGAATATGAAAAAATTGACAGAAAATCACTAAAAGAAGTTAAAAAGAATCACACTAACGATGTGACTCTACTAACCGAATTGAGGAAATAAATAAAAAACATAAAAGAAAAGTAGTGTTGGCGAGATAAAAACACTTAAATAAGAAAATACGAGGATATGATAAAAACTCTAGGAAGATTTAGGTAATAGAGCTTAAACCAACTCAAAGTCGTCAAGGCAAGCAACTGAAGCAATAACTCATTCTCGTCCACCAACACCCCAACAACCTTGAAAATACAATTAGTAGATAATTACCCAAGAACTTGGTCATATTTCAATTCCTTATCTAGAATCTCATACAACCCGAGATGACATCACTAACATCCTTTAGTTGACGAAATCATGAAAATACTGCTACCGAGTACATAGAAGAATCTAATAATAGATAGGTTTGATGAAACTATTGATCAGGACAAACACATTTAGATTTGTATGACACAAGTCGACCTACCATAGAAGATATTACCCTTTGTAGAGTTTTTCCTACTTCCTTGAAAGAAGCATCACTAAGCTTGCTCACTAGATTTTCATTGTGCCCCATAGATTGTTTTGAAACACTAGCAACAAAGTTTGACACCTAATTTGCAACCAACTACCCATGTCACTTGAGATCCATTGTCTTTGCCAACATCAAACAAGATAAATGGGAACCTTTAAAATCATCGTGGAAAGATTGAAAAAATGGTGTTGAATATTCAAAACTTGAACCTTGAAGTGGCCCTTCATCACTTGGTCACAATGTTAAGACCCAAACTATTTGCGAATAGTTTATGCAATATATTTTTTGCCCATTTAGATGAGTTGCAATAACAAGCTACAAAGAGAAGAGCACATTCATTGAGAAGAGAACACCAAATTATTCACATTGGCAAGTGCTAAAGAAAAAGGAAAATATGGCACAATAATTTAAATTCGCAAACTAGCCATTCACGAAGGTAACGTGTGGGACCTAAGCTGAACTTTGTTTGATGACACCAATAAGAAACTATCTCATGACCGGGACATGCCTCAATGACCATAAAGAAGCAATATCTTTCAAAAAGTGAGTTTTTCACTTCACACTTATTGGTGAGGAACGGTTCAAGCGAGGGTTTACTAGTCCATTGCTAAAGTGTGTTTCATTTACATAAGTTGAATACATGGAAGAGCTTCATAAAGGTATATGTGAACTATACTTTGAGGGAACATAAATGGCAACAAGGATCCTTTATATCGGATATTATTGGATGACTATTCATAGTAATTGTGCCTAATACGTGAATAAATGCGTATCAGAAGCATAGTAATCTAATACATACCAACCCAAAAGAACTTTATCCAACTTGTAGTATGGAGAATATATATTGTTTAGTCATTCCCACTAGCTAAAAGATAATGTAAATTTCTATTAGTTGCCATCAATTTCTTCACAAAATGGATTCAAGTTGAACCTTTTGTTAAAATCATCGCCGACAAATACAACAGTTTGTGTGGAGAAATATTATTTGTTAATTTGAAATACCTAACACAATCATCACTTACTACGGTACACAACTAAAAATAAAAACTTGCACTACTACAAATAAGGTTTTCCACGTCGATTTTGGAAGGTCTTCAACGGCGGTTCCAAAACCGACGTTGTATCAGGCGACGTCGGTTCTATTTAACCGACGTGGAAAGTTTGATTTTAATTTTCAACTTTATTATTTATCATATTTTTTTGAAGTTTAAAGCATTACCGAATTAATTTTTTATCACTGACAGGATTTGAACCCAACACCTTAGTGTTGGTGGTCGATACTCCAACCACTAAACTACTCGAATTTTTTTATAATAACTTACAAATAAATTATATTTATATACAAATAAATATATATCCGTGTAAATATATAAATATATAAATACAAATATATTTATATATTTTGATATATTTATATAATTATATAATTATATATTTATATGTTGGATGTGAGGGCACGCTCGAAGGTGAAAAAGTGTGTGTCGAGTGAGTTTTCAAAATTTGATGTCAAATTTGTGAGCGAGTCTCTTTATATGAGTTTGTAATATAATGATAGAATATAATATTTATAATTTATTTATATAATGATATAAAATAAATTTGAGAAACGCATCATTCGCTCAAGTGACACATTCGCTCAACCGAAAAATACCAATTTTTTCTCAAACGAGGCTTGAGCGAGTGAATTTCGGTGAGCTTTAACGTATTTTCACTCAAGCGAGAGTCAATCTCACTTTCACCCTCGAACGCGCCCTCACATCCAACATATAAATATATAAATATATAACTATATAAATATATCAAAATATATAAATATATTTGTATTTATATATTCTATATTTATATATTTACACGGATATATATTTATTTGTATATAAATATAATTTATTTGTAAATTATTATCAAAAAATTATAGTAGTTTAGTGGTTAGAGTATCAATTTTCAACTCTAAAATACTATATTCGAATCCTATCGGTGAAAATTCTCTAACTTAAGTGAATTTTTGAGTCGAAAAAAATAAAAACACTTTCCGAGAAAAAATATATAAATAAATATATATTTACACGGATATATATTTATTTGTATATAAATATAATTTATTTGTAAGTTATTATCGAGAAAATTACAGTAGTTTAGTGGTTGGAGTATCAACTTTCAACTCTCCGAGAAAATATATATAAATAAATATATATTTACACGGATATATATTTATTTGTATATAAATATAATTAATTTGTAAGTTATTATCGGAAAATTACAGTAGTTTAGTGGTTGGAGTATCAGCTTTCAACTCTAAAATATTGTGTTCGAATTTTGTTGGGACAATTCTCTAATTTAAGAGAATTTTTGGGTGAAAACACATTCAACATCGGTTCATCTGGAACCGACGTGGAAAGTACTTTCTAAGTCGGTTGACTAAAAACCGACGTAGAATGGTCCAACATTCAACTTTCAACGTTTTTTAACCAACCAACGTTGAAAGTGTATTTAACGTCGGTTAACCGACGTTAAATGGCAACGTTGAAAGCATATTTTGTAATAGTGTTGGTTGAGTTCTATAGAGGTTCAAGTAAAACACTACCAATTTTCGTGAAATATCCACAAACTAATGAACAAGCCGAATCAACTAATAAGGTAATTTTGATGAGTTGAAAAAGAGAATAAAACAGGCCAAGGGTAAGTGGCTCCAAGAATTGTTGGAAATCATATGGGTGTATCGATGCACACCACAAAAGTCAACCCAAGAGACACCTTACCGTCTCATTACTACATCGATGTCATGATTCAACCCAAGGGAGGTTTTAACAAGATACTATTCAATGAAAAACTCATTATCCCACCTCTCTCTTTTATAAAATGCATACTCCTCAAACTAGGAAGCTTTACTCATCATGAGTAATCTCTCCTAAGTAACTCGGCTAAGGATATTTTATTATCCAAGAAAAATCCCTCTCGAGATGTTGAAGGCTAACATATTTCAGTTTGACTAAAGTAAAAAACACATTAAGTTCATAGTAAAAGGATAATGAAATCATGCATGGCATCCATTACAAATCGATAGCAAAATAAGAAGTATATGTTCAATACAACCATTAACAAAAGAAAACATGAATTTGTTACAATCCGGTAGCACAAAACATAATTTTCCTAAAACCTACTAAGGTTCGTTAAAAGG